TCTGTCAGCGGTTTGCTAGCCAATTGAAAGGAGTGTTTTGGTCCAAGAGGCGGGCTTTTCATTGGGAGTGGAGGTGACCCAAAGAAAAGGCAGGGCTGAGGATACTTGGGCCTTTCCATGGAGGTACAAGCTGAGGCTGCAGAGGCTGATGACAGTTCAGATTCACTATTTTGTGTTGTGATATTTGTGCACGGATTTTGCATGATAATAAATGGTAAAGAAATCTTTTGACATCCTTTATTTTTCAACAACCTCAATTTCCTCTTGTTCTTCTGTGGTGCAGAAGGCCTTTGTTTAGACCTTGTGTACGCCATAGCCCTCAAAAGTATGGAGATGGGTTTAGTCTTCCCATATTTTTGTCCTTAGCTCAAAATATAGGGTTTTCTTTTCTACTTTCACTTGTGACATAGTCTCAGGCCTTGGCTACATTTTGTCCTCTATCCCTTGATACACTTGAAATTGATCAAACTTAACTCAGTAAAGTCAGATATAAATACAACTTGAAAGTTCAGTTACAAAGTGCCCTGGAACTGGTTAAAAATGCAGATTGCATGATATATCAGTGGAATAGAATGAAATCAAGCAATAGAAGCTGAATTACTAATCTGTGCTTTTACAAATTTTCGCAATGCTTTTTACTGCATATTAGGTTGAGAACTAATTCTTGATGAAGATGTAATACTCTATTCTGAGCAGTTCGGAGTAAGAGTGTTGTTATTCTTTTATGTTATTGGTCTTTTTTTTTTTTTTTGAATCAATTGATGCTCCTTCGGATGTTCAGCTCTATTTTCTCCTTGTTTTGATTCTCAGTTCCATGTCAACACAGGACATGCTCATTTAAATCCAGTATGGTAGAAACATTATATAGCTAGCAAAAATGTTCTGTATTTTCTACCCCTCACTGGGAAAACTACTACATAAAGTTAGAAATGTGGGTAGACATATGTAAACATGAGTGCTTACACTCAAATACATAATGTTCAGCAGATTAGACTAAACATACTGATGTTTCATGTTTTTCACAGAACGATGTAGCTTGTGTTTTTTTTTTTTTTCTGTTGATTGTAAGATTACTTGTCTAAGGTCCACTTCATGCAGAAGCGGCATTTTTGTTGCTCTTGCTTTTAATCATGGCTTCACCTCATATCCTCGTTGCTGAGAAAAACGCTTGACGTTTGTTTGCACAGATGACTTTGTTTCATTAATACTTAAGATGTTTAATTTGTGGATTGCTGTTAAAAAGATTTCTTTTGTTCTTCCTTGCTATTTATGGTCTTTCTCTTGGCAGACGCTTTATTTTTCATTTCCTTGTCTTTCATTTCTTCCTCTGTTATCTCAGTTTGTCTTCTTTCCTTCATGATTCCTTAAGTATGCTATTCCTGGTGTGTGTGTGTGTGTGTGTGTGTGTGTGTGTGTGTGTGTGTGTGTGTGTGTGAGAGAGAGAGAGAGAGAGAGAGAGAGAGAGAGAGAGAGAGAGAGAGAGAATTTTTTATATTTATGTTGCTGTGATAGAATAACCTAAGAAAAAGCATGTTAGGAGAAAAAAGGTTTATTTTGATTCACATTTCTAGAAGGTATACCATGTATCATTTTGAGAGAAGCATGGCAGCAGGACCTTGAGGCCAGTTTAGTAGTCAGGAAACAGAGAGAGAGAGAGAGAGAGAGAGAGAGAGAGAGAGAGAGAGAGAGAGAGAGAGAGAGAGAGAGAATATATGCTTCATACTCACTTGTTTACTCACTTACTGACTCGATTTCTTGGCTGTTGGCTGTTATACAGTTCAGCACATTCTGCCTAGGGAATGGTCCCATCTTCAGTGGGCTTGACCGTCTCCATCAACTAACTTAAGAGGATTTCCCAGCTCCCCTAAGACATGCCCACAGGCCAAAATAGTGTAGACAATTCCTAATTGAAACCATCTTTCAGTTGACTCTACATTGTGCCATTTGAGAACTAAGGCTAACCACCATCACAGTGATCTTAGTAGAGGAAATAACAGAATTGCAACATTTCTTCATTCCCATTTCAGGTGGCGTTTGCACCATGAAGATATTATTTAATTTACAGTCACTGTTTGTCTGTACTCCCTCCCCCATATTTGAGAGTTCAAGGACAGTGTAGTTATTAAAGAATATTTAGAAGATCTTCCAGCTGAGGAAGAGTGGGGCAATATATGGTGTCTTGATTCTACATCAGGGTTCAACACAAATGTAGACCATTCATATGATGCAAGACCTCTCTCTGGACAAGAGGCTACTGGGTGCATGAACTCCTCTTGGGATACTCTGACTTTCTTGTGTGTGAATATTTATTCACATGAAGATTTTTTTTTTTTTTTTTTTTACCAAAATGTGGACTCCCCCCATCACTCCAGTATTACAGACCTATTTCCATTATTGGGAAATCTCATCATAATCAAATGTATTTTTCCATTTTCTTGAATATAGTTCTCTACACATTTCTCACAGTACTCTTAATTTCTTAGTTTCATGAAACTTTAATCTAATATTTGTGTAGACTAAGACTTATAGTCATAATAAAAACATGATAACATATTGTGTGTGTGTGTGTGTGTATGTGTGTGTGTGTGTGTGTGTGTGTGTGTGTGTGTGTGTATGTATGTGTACTGTGAAATAACCAGAGCTCTCTTCTGTTGAGAATAGAGATGTCAAGCTGCCTGGAACTGGGATACATTTTCAAGTATGTATATATATATATATATATATATATATATATATATATATATATATATGTATTTGCCTTAAAGTTCATGTTTAATAACTTATCTATGAAAATGAAAATGACCATAGACAGTCACAATAATTCTCATTTAACTATAATCTATGATGACATCAGACTGGAAACACTTCATAAACTCATCATCAGCAAGGTGATATATTTATAAAATGTATTATAACTTAGCAATAAACAGAATGGGTGGATAGTATGGTAATATAAGTGAATGTTTAAAATATAAAATAAAACAAGCATAAGCTCAAATATACATCTAGAGTTCATCTTCATTAAGTATAAACAATGCCAAAGTTAATCTAATAATTTAAACAAGATAGTGGTTCCCATAATCCAAGATTAACCTGACAGGAGCAGGAAATCATTTCTAAAAGATGACAAACATTTATATTTAAGATTGTGTTCTCTCTATGTATATAATATTTATATTTCATTAAATCAAACACTTAAAATCTAAGTTTTTTTATTTCATTAATTAAATATTTATTTATGTAACTCACCTTTACGAATAAACAGGTCAAAGAGATGTTAAATGATTGATGATTAAGACATGCAATGCCTTCTGTCTTTTACCTTGAACTTCTTGCTTTTGTTTCTTGTTTGCTATGTTTATCTACTTGTCCATTGCTCAGACAGTTATCCTGCATAGCGTCAATTTGCAGTTCTGAAATGCCTCCTCTGGACACACTTGGTTGGAACACACTTATCTTGTGTTCTAACATCATTTTGTTGCTGTTATAATATACTCTGAAAAATATAAAACAATATAGGACAGTGTATTAGTCAGGGTTCTCTACAGTACCAGAACTTATAGAATGAATCTCTTTCTACATATAGAATGGGTATTTATTAGAATTACTTACATGCTGTACAGACTATGGTCTAGCTACTCCAGCAATGATTGCCTATTTACAGAAGGTCCAACAATTCAGTAGTTGTTTGGTCCTTGAGGCTGAATGTCTCAGCTGGTATCAGGATACATTGGTCTGATATACAATACAGTAGCCTCCATTATCAGTGAAGGAATGGACTTGCTAGGGAGGTGAGAGCATGCAGGAAAAGAACCAAAGCTTCCTTCTTCCATACCCTTATATAGGCTTCCATTATATGGTGTAGTCCAGATTAGAGATGGGTTTTCCCAGATCAAAATATTTAGATTAAAGGTGTATCTTTTCTCCTCCAAGAACCAGATTAGAAGTGGATCCTCCTACTTCAAATTAAGCACAAATCCCTCCTGGGCATGCCACTCCATTTTTGGCTTTTAGTTATTTTTAGATGTAGTCAAGTTGACAACAAAGAGTAGCCATCATAGGGAAGAAAAGCGATGATAAGTTACAGTTCCTCAGTGAGGAGAAGTCAAGATAAAAACCCATGACAGCTCTCACGCCACGTCCATACATAGACGAAAGCACAGAGAGACTCTATGGATCTTGCTGGCTTGCTGATGCTCAGTGACCTTCACCCGGTCTTAGACATCCAGTGCATGGAATGATGTTGCCCACAGTGGGCTGTGTGAGATAGCAATTAATCTCCCACATGGATGCCAGCAAGCTAACCTTATCTAGATAAGTCTTCAGTCGAGACTCTCCTCCCAGGTGATTCTAAGATGTGGCACGTTGACATTTACACTAACCATCTCATCTAGGTTTCCTATAATATCTCTGTCTAAAGTATGCTGTTTCATGTTGGGATGCTCTGCACTCCTGGCTATTAGCTGTAACTGCTGGACCTTTGTAAGGCCCTTGTTTTGTTTTACTACAAAGTCTTAAAACTATTATAGAAATTTGCCCAGAAATTATATCCCATTCACAGGATGAACTCAAGATCTAGAGTACTGAAACTTAAAAGTTTAATTAAAAATTTTAACTACAAATCTTAAATGTGCTTAATCCTTTTAAAAACGTCTTGCGAAACACTGCTTTGAAATGAGCAGTATTGATGAATTACTATGACCCTTTTAACCAGCAATGCTCTCTATATTCTGCAAATTTTCCTTAAGAAAATCACCTATTTGTTCTCTAAATATCCTATCATTGTATACTTAATCAAAGAAAACAGTGAAGAAGAGGGAAAATTTGTATCTCCCAAACTGAGGCATGTGTCCATAGAGGGAACATTCTGTTTACTCTGCCCAAATAGCTATAAATTAGACCAATATAGGCAGACTTTTATTATAATGATTAAACAGAACACAGAATTTGTAGATAAGAATGACTTCAGTAAAGATAATACATTTTTTCCTGTTTTTCAGATTTATCATATGCCTGGACCTTCAATGATAACCCCTTGTATGTTCAAGAGGACAAGAGACGGTTTGTGTCTCAAGACACAGGGAACTTGTATATTGCCAAAGTAGAACCCTCCGATGTGGGCAATTATACTTGTTTTGTCACAAACAAAGAGGCCCATAGAAGTGTCCAAGGACCACCTACTCCTTTAGTACAGCGCACTGATGGTAAGACCATGAGTCATCTTCAGACTCCACATTGGGACTCTGACATTGTGGGGAGGTCTTCAGGGCCTTTGGCTTTCCTCTTATAATTGAAGCCAAATCATTGGAGATTAGATTAAATTCATAAGCACAATGGAGATGAAATATTACTAAAATCAAAAAGAGTTCTCTAGTTTTATACCCACATGGTACAATTTACATATTTCTGGGTATACTGTGCCATTTCATTTCTGATGCCAGAAGAGCTTGTCTTCTCATTGCTTAAGGACTGGTGCATAAAAATTATGTTTGTCTAGAGGGACTTGGCGTGTGTGTATGTGTGCATGTGGATGCTGCCAAATTTTCATGCTTGAATTGATGAACACACTTTGCAACCTCTCTTATTGTCCACTTTCTTTTCTATCCTTGTCATTATTTTACTACTGTTGTTGTTCACTCTTTATTTACCTGGCTGGCAAAATGGAAAAGTAAAAATATTGTGCCCAAAGAAAGAAAAGCATGCCAAAGAATGATAGAGTGGAAGATTCAGGCTAAATTGTGTCTCCAAGGAACGGGACTCAGATTGGTCTCTGAAGAGTTTCATACCTTAGTCAAGCCAGAGCTGGTGCAAGATTTAGAGAGCTAGGAAGTCAACTAAGTGGAGAAATCCTCTAGTTGATTCTCTAATTAAATGTTCACAGTAGGGTATGTAAAGAAAAAAATCTGTTAGTTAATTTTATTATCAGACTTTGAACTTGAAAGGCAGTACCTCATAGAATGTTGTTCCCCCCCGAAGAGTTTAAGAAAAGCAAGGATATAATGATAATCAAGCTGACAGAACTATGAAGCCAGCTTCCCAGCATTCTCATGGCAGAGATTTCAGAGCCACTATCTATTCAAATATTTCTGCAGGGGTTTTATTCAGATATCAGCAAACATTAGATTTATACATTCATTTTCTCACTTTCTGTGAATACTCTGTTCATGAGTGGGAAAGCACGTGAGCTAACAATTTTCATAGAGATTATAAATTTTTTCTGTTTTATTTTTGTTTACTCTTAGTTTTTACTTTCTCCTTAATTCTTTTCTTCTCCCACCTCCTCCACTCCCTTCATCATTTAATAGTAAAAGTAGATTATAAACATCGTGCATAATATATGTCTATTAACTCCTCTAAAAGTTGACATTTGTTAAGAAAACAGGAAAGCAAAATGAAAGCAGCCAGTTTAGTTTCAGAATTAGCATCTGAATGGGATATTTTAATAATGAAATTTTGAAAATTAGCTACTTATATATTTATGTTGTAATTTCTGTACTTCCTAGAGTCTCACTGACCATCCAAAGTCCATTTATTTGTGGTAGGAATGAGTTACTATAATGTTTGTCATATCGATTTATAAAATGATTAAAGTTTTAAAATAATTCCAATATAGCATTGATTAATTCAGATGAAAATAGCTTATAACTATTTTTGTTTGTTGCAACTCTTTTGGCAGATAGTGTGTTTATGACATCTTGAATACTGCTTTATTCTAAACTTAATTTAATTCTTCCTTATTAAAATGCTAAAATTGTGGAAATAAAACTTTTACAAGTGTGCTATGAACATAGCAGCAAAATCTGCTGTACTGATATTAATATAGATATTCAGTTTCTCTTATGTAGTTACTGTATAAGTTTTGCTGCAGAAATAGAGGTATTTTTGATTGTGGTGATACATCAGAGTTCTGATAGTGTTAGCTGAATCATCCTCCCTTCTCCGCAATATGTCTAGTCCATGAGTTTCTCAAAAGGAGGCTGGAACTGGATGTCCCTAGTGAAAGAGCCTTGTATAAAACTCAAAAGCATGTCTCCATCTCATGATTGGAAACTCTAACTTTGATGAAAATCCAAGAGTCACATTTTGGTTAATGAAGCATTTACTTCATAGGAAACTTCTATTCTCCAGAAATGCTGCTAGCTGTTTTGGTATTTAACAGGTGTCATGGGGGAATATGAGCCAAAGATTGAAGTGCGTTTTCCTGAAACAATACAAGCTGCAAAGGATTCATCTGTAAAACTGGAATGCTTTGCCCTTGGAAAGTAAGGTTGTTTTTTTTTTTTTTTTATGGTTGTTTAATTTAAAAAAAAAAACTTTTTTCTTATTCAAACATTGCTCTAAGGAAAAAATGCTAAACAGATTTCAAGTGCCTGGCATGGTGGGACTTTCTGATTGGAATTCAAACAACAACAAAATGTCTAATACACTGAAAGTGACTGGGCCTGTGGATATAGCTTGAATACATCATGCCCCACATAATACACTCACCGTCAGAGAGAATGTGCACTTGTGTAAAATGGTGGACAAGCCATTGAGCATTTGACATACCCTTCACTCTTCTCTGAAACCTAGAAATTGATTGCCTGGAGTGTTTCCATGCTTAATTATTTAGGAACTCTTAAAAATGAAAACCTACACTTCTCTTTTCCAAAATAAGACTAATTACCATCCATTGTTCACAATGGATAATTAGATTTGAGCCCAGTCAACCCTAGGTAGTTTGCTTTATTCAGATAAATGTGCATTAGCAACAGGTTTGCATGCCTTTTAAGCCAGCAAAATAGCTACACCTTTGGCATAGAATGTCAAGAAGATTCCTTTGCTTTTCACGATATTCAAATCTTATTTCGATGCTTATACACATTTAGCAGTAAATACCAGGGAAAGGAACTGGTGGATCATTTCTGCTGTTTTCAAACAGTAGTGTACACATGAGTTACCTTGTTATTCATTCAGTTAAATTCAGATTATTGGCTACTGTCTAGGATAAAGTTTGATTCAGAAACCCCCAGCTTATAACCATTTTCCAATCTTTAGAACGTATCCTAAGTAAGATGAGAGTAATTTCTGAATGTGAGCAGTAAGGGATTATTTTTAACCTAAAGGCTGTTTCTAATGTGACCATCACAATAGTAAAATATAGATCGATTTTCCAGACACAGAAAATCATCCTTAAAAGTGCCAGTCTTTTTATGAACTAACTATACTTACCAGTACATATATTGGCTGCTGACTCTTAGTTTCTTTTCAGTAAATGGCATTGCATACAGCTGTGAGTTAGATTTCTTATATGATTCATTTCTTATAAAATGAAACAATCATAGTTCATTTCCATGCAGCACTACTCTCAGATTATCATCCAATAAACACCTATTGATCAATTAATAATTCTTAATAAAATAATACATAAATAATTTTGTTTGTATGACTCTTGAGACATGATGAATTCTACCATTCTGAACTTTCTCAGAATCATAGTGAAACCAATCATGCAAAAATTGTCAATAATATCATGAAGATTATCTTAAAAGAAGACTAGTGTGATAGAGTCTCAGAAAAGAACACTATTCTATCATATTTGTGATAGGTAAATATCTCTTAATTAAAAGAAATTGTAACATAAGAACAAAACTATGAAATCGCTTGAGGCTAGTCCTGAGCAGTCTGATAGAAATAGTTTCATTTCTCAGCCCCAATAAGAAAACATTTATGATATGAAATCATCAATGTTTCTTAAAATCTTACAGAATGATAGCTTTCATTATATATGTGAAAGTGAACCTTAGAGTAGATTATTAAGAAATATGTTTTCAAAGTTAGCAACATTTAAATAAATAGTAAGGTGGCTGCCTTTGAAATAATTGAGGACAATTTCAATTCCCAATTTTCTTAAGAGTTATGTGATCATTAGTAAATATATTTATATTTTCTATGAATCTCCATATTCTCATTCAACAGGAATTGTTGATTCCTTGCCTAGAATGTTGGCAGGGGAAGTAAGACTGGATAATACTTATAAAATATTTAGTTCAGCACCATCACTTTTAGCCAGTAAATGTTCACTCAATTTTTCTAAAGCCATGGTGCGAAATCCATTCCAATTTGGATAACCAGTATTTCAGTGAGTGGAAGTGTTCCAACTAAAATATTAGTTTCAGAGTGTCTGTGATTTATCATCTCTCACCAACACATGAGTCTCTCTAGCTTGTTGTCTATGAGACTATAGAAGGAAGCAGTGGGAGTCAGTCCTGGAGAAAACAGAGGAAAAGAGAGGCAATAAGTTTCCCATGATGTTTGGATTGCTCATTTCATTTTATGTTTTTCTGTAGTGTTCAAATATATTGAAAACTTAAAAGCTGATACTTGGAAATGATATGTTACTCCATGTAAACAATTGCCACGACCACCCCTCCCTTTCTCTTTTAACCTTCTCCCCTTTGCTCCCCTCGTTTCATCTTCTTTCCCATCTCTTCTCTCTCCCTGTCCTGAGTTCTGTCTCTCTTCCCCCATTTCACTCTCTCTCTCTCTCTCTCTCTCTCTCTCTCTCTCTCTCTCTCTCTCTCTCTCTCTCACTTCCCCTCTCCTTTATTCCACTCTCTCTAGCTCATAATAAATCATTGGTAACGAATAACGTTTTAGGTAATATTTCATCACCTCAGAATAATGCTAAACATCTGTGTCTCTTTTCAGACTAGGTTGCTTAAGAAATTAGGAAATGGAAGAATAGAATAAGATACGGGCAAGAACTATTGACCCTGTTTCTTAACTTCACCATTTGGCTGCATGATTGTGATCTGTCATAGGTTAATGTTAAAAAGTTTATGAGCAGCCAGGTGGTGGTGGCACACGCCTTTAATCCCAGCACTCGGGAGGCAGAGGCAGGTGGATCTCTGAGTTCGAGGCTAGCCTGGTCTACAAAGAGCGAGTTCCAGGACAGGTACCAAAGCTACACAGAGAAACCCTGTCTAACCCCCCCCCCAAAAAAAAATCAAGGTTATGAGCAATATGTGGAAGAAGTAAATTGAAAATCCACTCAATGCAAATGAAGTCTTGGAATATGAGTCCTTTAGAACAAATTAGAAATAAATAATATCTCAATATTATTTGTATTCTGATTAAAGAAACAATATGTTTAAAACTGAAAACTTAAACAAGATAAAATATATAAAATCTTAAAATCACGAGAAAGCACTTAAATAATTTTATAAAAAATAAGCCACCAATATTTAATTTAGAAAAACTTGAATTGGAAAATAATATTTTATTATAAAAATTAGCAATAGGTTTGTATGGAAAGAAAATGTTGCTGATTGAGAAAGTAGATTTATTTTTAAAGTTGTAAAGGAAAAAAAAACTATTTCACATGCAACAATATGAAATGAAAACTAAGAAGATGTTGAAGATTTCCTAAGTGTACTTCATAGAAATCATTATGACAGAATTGATTTTATAAAGTACACTTCCTCAAATTGTATTTGCTTTGATTAATCAACACTAAGATGGTATTGATTCAACTGTCATTCGTACTGAACTGAAGTACCATAGGATTGAAACTAAAAGTCCAGAACTTCCTCTGGCCTGAAGGATAGTTTAAAATGCCCTGTATGAGAAGCTTACACTTTCTGTAACAAAGTGTTAGTGCACATTTAACTTTTTGAAAGGTGAAATTGTTGATTATAGTTTGGAAAACATTCAAATGTAAATTACCAACTAAAAGGGTTTTATATCTGCTTGCCAATTGTTTTCAGAAAATGAGTAATGTTTATGAAACATCATAAAACTGTGAAAATAATTCTTGGTATTTTACAAATTTTGACATTTATCAAATAATATTCTCTTTTAAATTTATAAGCATAAATCAACAAAAATAAAAATAGTATATTTGTTAAAAGGTACTTTGTTATAATATTTAAACCTATATAATTTTCTGTTGTATAATTAATAATCTGAAAATAAAATCCACTCTCTTAGCTTTTAAATTAGAAATTTATAATTATAGTTTTACTGCCAATTTTCATAAAGTCTTTATAAACCATGCCTTTTAAAAGTAGTGCACATTGCAATGAGAAAACTTAGTTGGTTCAGGTAGGAATGAATTTAACTATTTATTACTGGATTTATGCATTGAATGCACAAGGCTATGTGCATGAGAGAGAGACACACAGAAATGAGAAACAGGCAGAGAAAGAGAGAATCAACAGCTTGATACCTTAGAAAATATTTAATTTTGTGGAAAGAGGTAACTCTGGAAGGATGTGTGTGTGTGTGTGTGTGTGTGTGTGTGTGTGTGCACGTGCAGTGACTGCAGAAATCCCTATGTGCACTTACACATACATGAAATGTCATTCATATCCTAGGAATACCTTTCTCTTTCTTTGTCTTGCTGGGTGTTCTGTCAGCCATATAGTTGGAATCTACCACTAATTTAAAAGTATTTCAGTGTTATTTCAAATGTTTCCTTTTTATGCCATTCTTCTGGCCATCCCATGACATATCTTTTATACCATTAGTCACGGCCCACATTTTTATATTATGATAAGTTTTCTGTTGCCTTCCTTTTGCATTTCTCCTTGGGAAATGCTTCTACTGCTGCTCTTGCCATTCATTTCACTTAGTCATCACGTGTCTACCACCCATTCTGACTCCACCCGGGGGGTTCCTCCTTCGCATTAATGTGTTTTTTTGTGCAGAATTTTCTTTTTGATTATTCCTTAGATTTTTTTTTCCACCAGTTCCTGTATGTTGCCTACTTCTTTAGTTATGTCTCTCTGCATTTTAATCACAGTGGTTTAAAATTACTGTTGTTAAAAGAAGTATATTTGAAAGTGACTACTGCAGATTAAAAAGCTCTGTCTGATAATTTAAAAGTCTTTATCATTTTTTGAATTTACGGTTGGCTAAGTTGTTTTTCTCTATGGATTACATTTTTAGTGGAACATGTATGCTTTTTTGTTGAAACTTGGATATGATGTGTCCCCTGAAAGGAACTCAGGTAGCAGTGGTTTTGAAGTGTGAGTTTTATATTTGTTTTGCAACTATTTGGGCTTTCTGCTGATTTGCTGCATCTTTGTTACCAACACTTAAACTAGATTCTACTGCTGTTGTCTGTAGATCTCCTAGATAGCCCCTTAATAAACTATGCTTTGCAGTGATTTCAACTATAACCCCACTGCTTGTGTGAAATTCAGTTGTGTTTACTAAATCTAGCATCTGGCCATTTATATGACTGTTCATATTTACTAGGTTTTATTTTATTTTTTGC